CGTCTTATTGAAATGATCCGAATGATATAAAAATTAATTTATTTAGTATCTAAACAATCTAGCAATATTCGAAGCCACAATAAAATAAATGCTTTCTTTACAGCAAAGCCCATTCTAGGAGAAGCAACTTAAAAACCATCTCCATTGTCGAAAAGACTAATTACAATACCAAAATTTGTTGAAAAAACCACATATCATGTACTGTATAAAAAAATGTGGATATTTATTGCGTATTCAGTGCAAAATTGTTAACTATTAATCGCTTCTTTATTTGCTTATTTTTGTTGTATAAAATAAATAATGATATTCGGATATGAACTTTTTACTTTTTTTGCGCACATTTAAAACTGATGGTGAAATTACAAATGGCTCGTTATTCCAAAATACATAAATCGATAATGATGCGAAACATTCGATGGTTTAATTATTAAACTACTATCAAAAATCGTATAAAAGAATTTATACTGTGCTCAATCTGATAAAGGATTATTTGTGGTACTTATGCTGAAGACCGGATTACGCTGAAATTTGCTTTTTTTTTTTGGTTTTTTCTTTTCTGATTTTGATTTTTTTTGACTTTTGATTTTTTTGATTTTTGATTTTTTTTGATTTTTGATTTTTTTTTTTTTTTAGAGTTCATAGTTAATATTGCTAATAAAGAGAATAAGTGAATTTCGGCAGATATATACCATAGATTTAAATGGGACCTCAAATTTCAACATAAGCCGATTTCAGCATGAGCCGACATGACAATTTGACTAAGAACAAATATGTCTTAAAATGAATAATTTCATTTATGCCAACTTTTTCCCATATACCCTCATGCTATTCCAATAGGTTTGAAAAAAATTGACCTCCTCTTTAATTTTTAAAAGCTTTCCATCATACTCATCTTCATTAACCTTCATGTAAGGTGCCAAATAAATTTTAATCTGTTTCAAAACCATTAACAAATTTTTTAAAGTCATTTCACCAATAGGATTATCCCAATTACCAATTGGGTAAACTTGCTTTTCAGTAGTTATAGAGGTTAGGTGAGAATTGGAAT